CTTGTCCTGGAGCGCTGACATCGATTTGTGGCACAGGACAGCTCCATCGGCTAATACTAACCCACACTCGGCTGGTTGATTTTAATGGGGCTATCATGGCCTATCCGACCACAAAAAAGGGGGTTTCCAAAGTCATGGGGGTATCCCAATAGCTGCATGGTTTATTTCATGGAAAGTCTGAAAATAAATGGATGAAAACTGGGGGTACCCTCATTTTAGGAAAGTCTTTAGGAATCAGGAACCCCCCTGTAACCCTGTAATTATCTGGCAGGTGAAATCTTCTATTATCCTCCCGGCACAGGCTTCGAGCCTACGCCTTCTGTCTTGGAATTTCGAGGTTCCATCGGTTCCATCGATGGAACTCTCTCCAGCTTCTCCTTCTCAAAGTCGCCACTATTGAAACTCACACGCCTCTTAGGTTTTCGAAGATGTATTGCCCCATCATTTGCTCCAGACACGATGGAGGGTCCAATGGGCGCTCCCTCGGGGCTGAACTTTCTGGCGAAAATGGTGCTTGGAAGCTCCGAATCGCTGCTGCGCCGGCCCCGCCCCGTGCTGCGCACGGAGCCCGCACCCGAGACTTCGGACCAGCTGCGGCGCAGGCACCAGCTGCCAAAGGCCTCCTCTTTATCGTTCTCTTGGACCTGGACAACATGGACAAACATGGAGAAAAACCTGGAGAAAAACATGGAGAAAACCATGAAACATCTGAAAGTATGGCATGTTGCTTCACCTGTCTACACTATGCAATCTGAAAAATACCATTAACATTGAATAACATCATGAGATGTCAATAGATCTGCCATGATCTGCCGTGTTTTTGAATGTTTTTACTTGCCCAGCCTTCTCGTGAACAGCTCCCGGCACAACAAGCGGCGCTCGTTGAGGTTTCGGAGAAGCCGCTGGAGCAGGAACCGGCGCGCGCTTTCGCCGTGCCTCCGGGGGCGCGCTCCATACTTCAGGCAGGAAGAAGGCTCCAAACTTAGCTCGAAAATCCATAAGGCCTATGGAAGGGAATATCCCCACAAAATATGGCCCAAAATATGGTACGTTTACGTACCTCCATCTGTTGGATCCTGAAATTACCATTGATCTTAGCCATACTTCAAGGTTTATGTTGATCTTTCAAGGTATACAGTCCTACATCAAGTGGTAAATGAATGTAAACGGCGTAGGCCCAGAAACAGGGCCAATTTTGCTGACCGCTGAATGCGCAGAAGATACCAGTGAATTTAAAAGGTGCCAGAGGCTACTGCAAGCAAAAACCAGTCAGGCGGCTCCAAGAAAACAAACAGAGTCCCAAAACCTGCAACCTGAATTGCCAAACATCAGTTCAAAAACATATGAAGGTTTCCATAAATGGAGGTACCCCAAGAATGGATGGTTTATGAGGGAAAATCCTATTAAAATGGATGATTTAGGGGCACCACCATTTATGGAAACCCTCATATGTATTTACTTGCTCTGGCCGCTGACCAGCTCCCAACTCCCAGCTGCACCTCCATCAGCCAGGCTTGTCCCCGTTCAATTTGCTGCTGTTGTACTCGATGATTTACCAGGAAAGTTGGCTCACTGCGGATGGTTCTGAGACCTTGACAACATTTGACAACCAAAACAGTGAACAACACATGTTTCGAGTCATGAAACAGTCATTTTTCTTCCAGTCTGAGTGTAAGATGAATGTAAGATGAATGTCTTCACAGCATTTCACACCATTTCGTCCCTAAAAAACACGACCTTTTCTGGGCCCTATGCTGGGCAAACGCCAAGCTTCGATGAATGAATTTCAATGGACAGGTGAAGCAACGGTACCCAAGAATCGATGGTGAAACATATGGTCCCCAAGAATCGATGTTAATCGTCAGTTTTAACGATAGATTTCCATGTTAACCATATCAGTTCCGCATGGCCATTTTGACAGAACTAATCCCTTCCCCGCCCAAATGATATCAACACCTGGATGAATTTTTAGTACTAGGGGGCATTTAGTATTAGGGTGCGAAACTTCCCCCTAATCTTAAATTAAACACCCTAACATAAAAAACTGAAATCTTCTTAGATTTCCTTTTAAACCGTAATTAAAATATTGCCAAAAAATTGATTTCGAAGCTTTCACCTAATATCAAATTCAAAGCCTTAATACAAACAACTTAAATTTTCTATTCCAAAGTCGATTAGATTTCCCGATTTCCTTTTAAAATCTAAATAAGATATGGCCAAAAATTGGATTTCGAAGCTTTCCCCTAATATTAAATTAAACCTTAATATAAAATACTTTTTTTTTCGATCTTAAAAGACCGACCCTAATAAAAAACACTCCGGGGTTGACTAGTTTTCATTACTAGGGGGTGAAACCCTGAAATGGGACCTTCGTTTTTGTTATTTCGAAAGGGGATCAATTAAAAATCAAAATGGCCGGTCTGAAATTTCCCAAAATTTAACACGGACCCGAGTTTTTAGTATTTGGGGTACGTTTAGTAAAAGGATGTGGGGATTACTGATTACTGCTGAGCTCGCAACCTCTGAGGATTTCGGGTTCGAAGCGGAGATCGGGGGCGACCAATCCGTTCCTCGGCTTTCCCACAACATACCGCAACCCAGCCGCAACCAATCGGTCAGGCGGGTAAGGTTGGACGGATAGATGTACAATGATGTATAGGTTTGCAACCAATGGGGTAATGTAATGTAAACCAATGTCACACAATGGGTACGTATATGATACACATTGATACACCACATGATTCATGATTGATCCTTTCTTTCCCGAAATCGGCCGAACATTCCTGCGAGATGCAAAAAGTCACAGCTGGATGTCGGCGAAAATGTCAGGGCTTATTCAAAAACCATGAGAAAACATTTGGTCAATGATCATTGATCAACCATTGATCAACCATTGATTAACCATTGATCAACCATTGATTAACCATTGATTAACCATTGATTAACCATTGATTAGCCATTGTTATAAGTCCAGGCTCCAGTTTTCCCAAGCGCTCAGCGATTGCGTGCGCACTCGCAAGACTTCCTCAGTCACGGCGCTCACGGCGCGGCCTGGGCGTTGATCCAGGTGATCCAGGTCCTGGTCGCGGGAAATCAATGGAAATCACCTGGGGACGGGAAAATCCAACTACATTGATGCATATCAACTGGTTTCTATGAAATTTTGGACAATAATCATATTAAGATATGTTAAGTGATATGATTTATAGTAATCTCATGTAATCGTACATGGTCTTTCTAGATCAACATAAATCAACTGCTTGTGCTATATTCAGCGAAGATGGAGCATGCTGGCCTGACCCCGTCTGGGGCGTCCTGTACTGCCGCCTTCTGGTCTTTCAAGGGACCAGGCCAGGAGCTTTTCAAGGCAGCCTCTTCACGGACATCTTCACTTGCAGCTAGCCTCTGATCTGGAACAACTTCTTCGTGGTCGGTCATTGTCGTCTGTGCCGCAGCTTCGGCCGACCTTTCTTCTGTGCCAGTGACCTGGTGGATCTGAGCATGCTTCATTTTCTTAGCGGCTTAGCCGGAAAAGACATCAACTGCAACACGTGCAACCCGGAGATGGCTTCCATGTGCAGATGTTAAATGATGTTAACATGCAATTACAATCAATTACATCTGTCGGCAGCACCTCGGCGGGGGACATGTTCTGAGGTGCGAAGCCTTCGCCAACAGACCTCGGTGAACTTTCTCTGGACAATCGGATGCACAATCTGGACATATTTGGGCACTGGTTGGTTGCTTTAACCATCTTGAAAAATGATGGAGTTCGTCAATGGGAAGGATGACAACCCATATATCATGGAACATCAAAAATGTTTGAAACCACCAAGCAGGACATATTGGGACCCATACCCCACATGGCACTCCATCATCATTCACCGACCATCCTGTGGCTCTGAGGGTCCCGACGCGCGCAACGTTTCACCCAATGACTCACCGAGTCTCACTGTGAGTTCCTGAGCCAAGTCCCCATGCTCTGCATCTGGGAGATCTGGGAGATGCTCTTGGATCACTTCATCAGCTGGATCTGAATCTGCCTCTTTTCTTTCTAGATCTGATGGATGACCATCCACTTCCTCCACTTCCTCCACATCCTCCACATCCTCCACTTCCTCCACATCCTCCACATCCTCCACTTCCTCCACATCCTCCACATCCTCCACTTCCTCCACATCCTCCACATCCTCCACATCCTCCACATCCTCCATATCCTCCATATCCTCGCCATCCTCGGCCGCTTCATCTGCCAGTGGCGACCCTGGCGACCCTGGTGACACTGGCGACGCTGGCGACGTCATCGAGGGGGAGGCGGATCTGGAAGCGGAGGACCCCATGTCGACAGCCAGGAGGGCCTGGTCGATTTTTGGCCGGAAAAAGGTGCCAATTCACAGAGGCAAACAAAATGCAAACGTATTAAGTTTCAGGTAGAATATTATATTTGATATATATATATATATATTATGTGAATGACACAGCTGGTAGCGGAGGAATTCACCAAAACTGAATAAGCTGACCCTGTCAGTTGCAAATGAATCCAAATAGAAATGGCCCTGCCAAATGAATGAAAATGGTGGATGCCCTGCACCACCCAAACACGCAGCTGCCCCTTTTGGCACTCAAGACTCCATGGCCGTCCGACGACCGATGATCCACAGCCCTACCCTCCTCAAGTTGCCTGAACCGTAAATGGTATCCGGCATTGCAAATGGTCAAGTCACCACATGCTGACAGGAGTTGGGAACATCACATCAAGGTATAGTTGTAGATGAAATCACACTCCCAAAACTTTATTTTTGATGTGATTCCTTCAACCATTGTAGCGCTTGTTTCCTGTGTGCATTTGTTTGAAGACTAGCTGCCTCATCAAACAGTTGAAAGGCCCCTTGTTCTAGTACCGCACGAAGAAGCGATGAGTCCATGTTCTTAGTCAAAGGATCGGCCAGTTGCAGTGAAGTTGGTATCCACCTGAAGAAACAATGTTCCATACACCTTTCCTTGATAAGAAGGACTTCCAGCGTTGTGCGATATTCTTCGCACGATGGCATCGCTCTGCGGCTCACAAGATCATACAGGGATTTGCAGTCCGTTACGACCACGGCAGCATGCATTTGACGAAATGCCTCCGGTGGACTTCTCCACTGGAATTCAGGAATGGTCAGTGTACCCCAAAGCAAGCGGCACCATCCCATCTTATCTACGCTACGTGACATGGAAAAAGCTTCAGCTGACAGTGTTGATCTGACAACTCTGGAGATTTTCTTGGATGACCAGGACAGTGGACTAATGGGGGCCCTCTTATTATCTTGAAGATCTGGTGTAGTGGCAAACACTAATGTTCCTTGAAAGGATGCTAACTGTTTCGGACTGGCAAAAGACGCGTCTCCGAACACAACATGTGTGAGTTTCTGAGGAGAAATGGATCGAAAACATAATCCCACGTCACATGTTTTCTGGGCCTCACGCAGAACTTTGTTGGCCTCCATCAGGGTCGAGACAGTCGGTTTCGACAACTGAACTTGGATTTCCCCAAGCTTTGCAGCCACATCTGGTCTGGTGTTCGTGGTGGCGTACTGCAAACTGCCAATGAGGCCTCTCAAGTTGGACATCTCTTTTTCGGAAATAGGTTCCTGTACCAGGTGTCTTCGATGTTTACCAATCTCTAGATAAGGGATCGCTTTGATGTATTCTGCTTGATTTGCTCTGATACTGAAGTCTGGCAATTGCTCAAGTTGGATTCCTGTAAACACGATTTTTCTTTGCTTATATGACCCGAAAGGTAATTTTTGACGAAGCAATTCTAAACGTGAATGAAACCAGGAATCTCCACCGCAAATGCCGTCATCCACATGAGTACCTAGAGCCCCATGCAAAATTCTTTGTCCATTCTTCCATGACTCCAGATAGTACACGCAAGGTTCAAGTGGATGCATTTTGAAGCCCAAGGTTTGCAGTTGACTGGATAGCTCTTTGTAAAATAGAAGAGGTGCATCTACTCTACCGTACGCATTTCCAATCAGAGCACAGACCTGATCATCAGGTAATTGCATGCGTTCTCGTAATTCTTTTGGGGGTTCCATTGCTAATGGGTTTTCACTATCAGCTTTTCCACGTAAGAAAGCTGTCTTGATGTCGAAGGATGAAAGAACCCATTGTTGCGATGCAATTAGCTGAAGAATGGCATGCCTGCCCTCCCTGGTTAAGGTTGGTGCATCACGATTGACCTCAGTCAGCCTGGGATCCTGATAACCTAGAACTACCAATCTGGCTTTGGCTTTTCTGGCATTGGTCTGTTCATCATCATTACATACATTTTTCCATGTCAGGACCCATCTTGACTTGAGAATTTGATCCGGATTCAAATGCTTTCGAAGTATCGGTTTCAAGGCACTTGTTTGAAGCCAACATGATAACTCAGCTTCCTTGGCAGTGTCGAAAAGCCGTCTTTCGGCTGCGGTCAGATCTTTGATCTGGACTTCGGCTCGGGCCCTTTTTCCGGCAGACGCTACCTGAGCAAGTTCTTCCGGATGGGAAGACTGAGACCACTGTAATAAATCCTGGCGAGACATTGGAACTTCTAGCATGAAACACTGGTGGTCATGATGACACATAGGCTCATCTAAAAGGGGCAAACCATCTTCGGCCAGGCAAATATCGGAGGACTCAGTGCCCGATTGGAACACATTCCATTCGTGAATCGGATCCTCTTGTAGGAAGTCACTGATCTCATAGCACGACAGAACATTCTCTGTCTCGGCTGCATCAACTGGCTCTTCTGTGGGGGTATCTAAATCTATGGCATTTTCTGATTCAAAGTTGGGGAAGTTATCAAAGGGAGGATTATCAGTTATGCTTTGATTGGGACTTATGACGGGTGTGGTTACGTTGGACGTTATGGGCTCTGGAAACAGTTCACTTTCTGGTTGGATACTGGTTTGACTGCTGATGGGAACTTCAGGAACATCTATTGGAGTACCAGGCGTGTACGTCTCATCTTGATTTGAACCTTCATGGATGCTAGGCCTAAATTCCAGGGTACCTTTTGGTCCATCCTGGGAATTCTGGAGACTCTGGACACGGTGGTTTAGAGATTCGGATGCATTTTGCCATTCTCTCAGTGATGCAGGACGCAAGCTCTCGGGTGAACAGCGCAGCAAACGGTCACCATGCGCAACCCAGATTGTGGTGGAACCATCTTGACATACCACCCTTGCAGGCCCATGCCAGCGTCCAGTTTCTCGTCGCCCAGTTGTATTTCTCTTTTTCCAATAGAGTACTAATTGACCTATCTCATAGGTTCCAGGATGCGGTTGTGACTTGCGGAGTAAAGCTCTGCGGATCGCCGAGTCATTGTCGGCAAGCACAAACATGCGTCTTGCTCTGGAACGGATGTCAAGGTTTCTCCGAAAAACTTCGCTTTCAAGGTCAGATCCATCAGCTAGGCTATGGGCTGAGGCATGTTCATCAGATGTTAGGGAAGCAGGCACCTTAGTGGCTTTTCCCAACACAATTTGCTCTGGTGAAAAACCTTGATGACGAGCGAGTGCATTCTTGGCTTGGAAACAGGACTGAAGGACTTGGTCAAGTTCTTGAACGTCTTCAATTTTCTTTTCTCGATCAAAACGATCCAACATGTTCTTGATGATTTGACCATGTCTTTCAATGCGTCCCTTCTGCCATGCTTCGGTGGACAAACGTGGCTCTATGTTCTGTTGTTGCAAGAAATCAAGCCAATGTCCAGCACGGAACTCCCCGGCGGGGTCAGAGTAAATACCGGTCGGTTGTCCGGCCCAAGACATCCACATTTCCTTGAAGACGGGCACCACGTGTTCAAGATGACGATTCTGCAACCTACGTCCTAGGTGGAATAAGGATGCTTCATCTATACAGTGGAATACCATGACTTGAAATCCACCCCGGCCTGTCCAAAAAAAACCATCAATACCCAACAACTCGTTAAATTCTTTTGGATCATGAAGCTTGGCTGGTCTCTGATGACGGAATTTTGAAGTCTCCACACATGCATCGCAAATGTACTCCTTGGCGGCTTCAATCACATGTTCATGGGCTCCGGCTTCTTTGAGGTGATGTGCTAGTCTTATGGGATCTGGGTGACCCAAATTCTTGTGCAATTTCACTAGGTCTTGTTTTTCCTGGGCATTCAGCAACCTGAACTTTGGCCCGTGAAGTGGTACCGGAGGTGGTGCCCAACCTTCACATGGAACATTGCTAGTACGCTCGTGAACTGCAGCTGGCAACCCTTGATTGCCGGACACTCGAATTGCTGTGGGCGGTTCTGAGGGAGCCATCGTCTTCTCAGCATCATCGGCTACTTCTTTTGCGGGTGCAGATTCAATCTCAGGAGAGCATCCAAACATGGTTATGATAAGCTTGCATGGGATACACTTTCGGATGCGTTGAGCTCTGGTGCTCTCATGCCAGTTTTCTAAACCAAGGTCATGAATGGCTGATGTCTCACGATGCAAACATACTGTATACCGCAAAGGAAACTGATGGGACGCTGGGGCTTGAAGTGGCACCTGAAAACGTTCCGTACCCCTGCGCACAAACATGTCTGTGATCTTCATGGTGGTTTCCAAAATGGTCTGGGCGTGACTCCATGCTGTTGAATCTGCAGGACATCGGGTGTTGCCTACGCGTGGTGCGAAGGTCTTAGCCTCCTCAAACACAGCTTGCCAACGTTCGGACGATGAACATGCTGGTGGAGGAACTTCTGGCCTAGGAACATTGGGATTCGGATCCCTCTGTGGGTGGTCGGAAGCATCATATTCTCTCACTGGCAAGGGGTTTGGCTCACTGTCGGCAACCGTTGGATTCGGATCAGACAAGCTGGATTTTCTTTTCTTGAAACCACTACCATTTGTTTTGAATCGTTTCTTGGGTCTCTCTTCTTCTTCATCATCAAAAACCATGGCATGTTCATCAGATCCTATCATGGTGTGATGAAGCTTGCAGAGTTTTCCGGCCACCATCTTGGCAAAACCCTGGCAATATGTCGCACAGAAACTGGTCAGTCTCTGGCTCTGGCCGTTGACACTGATACTACCCTCAATACGTTGATGAGAGTGTTGATTTGCACACAGGAGACCATTGAGTTCATGAAACAACTGTCGAGACGTGGTGAGAACTTGGCTTCTTTTCTTGAGGAATCGATTGGTCTTGGGTATGCGCAAACCAAAACGGCACATGTCAAAACGGGCTGCCATAGTATGCTGACGAATGAATGCGAAAGCATCCATCTGAATCAAGCTGGAACCTGCAGGCTGCTCGAGGTGGAAATGGCGTTCCAAACGGACCTGATACTCACAAATTCTTCGACATAAGTGGACATGTGGCATTTGCATTTCCTGCTTCTGGGAAATCAAATCAAACATGACTGAACTCTTACCCATGTTGAGACGATTCCAACCACTCCAGGGTCCGCATTCGGGTGCCATCCATATGTGCTCTGGCTGCAGCCTTTCAATCAGACCCCACAATTTTTGTCGACCAGCAAATGTGGCCAGATCCCCATCTTCTTTGGTAAAACGCATTGCCTTGTAACCAAGTCTTTGAACTGCTTCAGTAAGTGGACTATTGTTGTTGGCATAGATTTCCAAAAGGAAAATTCTGGAATTGTTACTGTTGGATTGAACATGGTTGATCAGGGAATCTTCCAAGTTGTTGATAGATTGTTCGAGTTGATGAGAAATTGGACTGTTGGTCTTATCTGTGACCTCGGTCTGAAGATCCTTTCGGGCGGCCAGAACTTCCGCATGGAACTGCTGAGCCTCAGGTGATGACATCATAGATCGCCCTTCGACATCCATAGTTGTCCGAACCGGACAAAGTCCTGTTGCTCCGGCATCAGGCTCGAATATCGAGCTAGGCTCCAGTGAAAGTATCCTGGGTCCTGGCGCATCACTGCCTCGAAGGACTTCCCCTTGTGCTTCCGTCCAAATGAAATCAGATTGCTTCCCCACTCTTCCAGTGTCAGATTTCCTGGAAGCGGCATCGTAGGCACTGGTGGAGCACCTCGATTGGTGGGCTCTGTCACAGGTGTCATCTGGACATTCTGTTGGATCATCACTTCTTCGATCTCTTCGATCTCTTCCCAGGTGGCCGCATGAGATATGACCGAAGGAGCTTTTCCTCGGCGCTGGGTCACTGCGGTCTGAGGCAGAGACATCAACATTGTTGTACTTCCGGCGGAAGCACCTGAGCTTGTTCCCATTGTTGGTCCACGAATCTTGCGCTCGGCTGGCTTCTTTTGGACCATGATCTCGTCTTTCAGATTTTCCAATGCCGTCTTTTGCATGTTGATCTGGTTCATCATTTCTTGCAATTGGCCATGAATCTGAGGATCGGTCTCGATCTCTGTTTCGGTGATCACTTCTTGTCTTTCCAACTGATGCACAAAGATCTGGAGGAGCAAGGTCAACAGGTGGATGATGGCCTCTGCAATCGTCTTGAGCATGCTTACCACAGGCGGCATGGGAGTCGCAGGTCTCTGAAGCACGATTCGAATTGGGCTGCGAGTCACTTGAGCGAAAACTTCTGTTTCGCTGGAATCTGAGGCCAGGTTTGTTTGATTTTTGAGACTGTAAAACCCCTTCAGTCCTACCCATTATGCTATTTTTATGGTTTTCATAACCTAATCTCTCCCCATTAGGCATTTCCGGAACTGATTTGACAGGAATGTCACTGGCGGTCTCTTGGAACATGGCAGCTTCATTTCGTACGCAAATGTCAATCATGTTGATGAGATACAAACCGGTTGGACTGGTCATGAGCTTGATGGGACCGTCTTGCACTTTTCGCATGAAGCATTGATCTGTTCGAGAATCCAACGAGCCATGTAGCATCTTGAAAGCTTTCTTGGAAAACAGAAAAGGAGTGGCTCCTGGAACCACTTCCACAGACAGCCAAAGTTTCTTCTGTTCTTTGTGTTTCAATGGCATCTGGATGGCATACATGCTGGTTAATGACTGGTTGTTTCCAAAACGGAACTTCACCTGGCTGTCTTGCTTGCGAAATCTGGCACTGATCTCTGCTGGAAGAGATTGTTGCAGTCTCTTCAGGGTGCGGTCTCCTATGATACAACGACTGGCTCCAGTATCTAAAATCGCATGGGTGCAAAAGGTTTCTAAGCTACTGTACACCTGCTCGGATGCAAAAGTCTCAGAAAAACGGCAGGACCGGTTGGTCACAGGAGCTTGGTCTGATGAAGGTTCATCAGGGCATTTCCTAGGCGGCATTTGAAATCTCTTGGACTCTACCGGATCACATGCACATTGGGACTTTCCGGAAAACCTTTGAACCCTCTTGGAATTGAAACTGGACATGCGCTGGCTCAAATTGTGAATACCACGATTCTTACACTCATGAGTTAACATGAAACATTCCGCATGACATGACTGAAACTGCAAACTGGATTCTACGGAAGGCATCACATATGCTTCATTGTCATCCTCTTCGGAAAACACCTCATCGACATCTCCAACCGTGGCGAAAACTTCCTGAGGACGTTCATCCATGACCACATTGGCAGATGCTGTCGAAGGTGGACCACCGGATTTTTCGGCACCACTGGCTAATGGGCATTCCGCTTTCCAGTGCCCGAGGGCACCGCAGCGGCGGCAGTGGCTGCGAGCAATCTTTTGAAGCAATGCATCACGGTCTTTGGATCTTTTCCCAAAACCTTTACCTTTTCCTTTTCCATATTTATTCTTTCCCTTTACAGGCCAGAATCCCCTTGATTTCTTCTTTTCAATCAACTTTGATCGTGCCTCAATGTACGTGGTCAAGGCCTCGAACATCTCTGGGGTGTCCTGCAAGAACTCCTCGAACTCGCCTTCGAAGGTGGCCACGGCCAAGGCGTCCGCATCATCCTGGGCCACTGAGGCATCAATGAACTCTTGATCAAGCTCGGGTTCTGCATCCTCAGAACTAGCATGGGTGAGATACGCTCTCTCATAGGTTCCAGAGTCATGTGAGGAAGCTGCATCGTGAGATTCAGAAGTGTCCAGAAAATTTGCATCATACACTTTGGTTCGCTGACTGACTCTTCCGGTCTGAAACTCATTGAAAAAGCGGCTGCCCAGCAAACGAAAGGATTTCACCACTGGCTTGTATTGAAGTTCACCCTCATGTTCAAGGAGAATTCTCTTTTTATCTTCTGCACTGAGAGTTGACTGCCGAAGCAGGACATATGCTTGCACCTCTTCCAATGTCGTGTTTCGTGACAAAAGTTCAGTGAAGTTGGCTTCCATACGGGCCAGGAAAGAATCATGGCTTTCATCATTCCTCTGAGTTGTTCCATACAGAGACTTCTCAAAGTATTCATAACGTTCTTCCAATTCAGTTGAACCCCACGACCCTCCAATGGCTTCTACCAAAGCGGCCACACCATCTGTTGTTTTCACCTTCAACTTGGCCGGGGGAATCTTTGCAATCTTCTTGAACGCCGTTCCTTCTATGAGAAGCGCTGCGCGAGGAGCTAACTGATCCAAGTGTTCCACAGGCCACAGCGACGCTAAAAACTGAAGCTTCTGGGAATACTCTTGGACATTTGTCACACCAGGAACAAATTTGGGAATCTGACTCCAAGGTAATTGAACTGGGCTCGGTGTCGGCTCATCGTCCGGCACAGGCGGAAGGCTACCATCACCACTAGCTGTTGGAGGCATGGTGCCACAGTCAAAACTGAAAGGATTTCCGACCTCCCTGGATCGTCCACTCTTACAGCTAAAGCAAAGTAGCTGGAGCTCGAGGCTCCGCTACCAGTGTGAATGACACAGCTGGTAGCGGAGGAATTCACCAAAACTGAATAAGCTGACCCTGTCAGTTGCAAATGAATCCAAATAGAAATGGCCCTGCCAAATGAATGAAAATGGTGGATGCCCTGCACCACCCAAACACGCAGCTGCCCCTTTTGGCACTCAAGACTCCATGGCCGTCCGACGACCGATGATCCACAGCCCTACCCTCCTCAAGTTGCCTGAACCGTAAATGGTATCCGGCATTGCAAATGGTCAAGTCACCACATGCTGACAGGAGTTGGGAACATCACATCAAGGTATAGTTGTAGATGAAATCACATATTATATTTATATATATATGTGTGTTGTGTTCACTCCCTGCACTCAACCCAGCAGCCAACTTTTACAGGCACAGTTGGCTGGCGATAAGATCAGAGACAGAAGCGAGCGCCGCCACTTCATGCAACATCTGCTTTCAGACTTCGTAGATGCAAAATAAGCATAGCCATAGATGCAGAAAAGAAGTGCATGCAACATCTGCTTTCAGACTTCGTAGATGCATAAAGCACAGCCGTAGATGCAGAAAAGAAGTGCATGCAACATCTGCTTTCAGACTTCGTAGATGCATAAAGCACAGCCGTAGATGCAGAAAAGAAGTGCATGCAACATCTGCTTTCAGACTTCGTAGATGCATAAAGCACAGCCGTAGATGCAGAAAAGAAGTGCATGCAACATCTGCTTTCAGACTTCGTAGATGCTAAAGCACAGCCGTCCATGCAACGCTTTCAGAAGATGCATAAAGCACAGCCGTTGCAGATGCATGCAACATCTGCTTTCAGACTTCGTAGATGCATAAAGCACAGCCGTAGATGCAGAAAAGAAGTGCATGCAACATCTGCTTTCAGACTTCGTAGATGCATAAAGCACAGCCGTAGATGCAGAAAAGAAGTGCATGCAACATCTGCTTTTAGACTTCGTAGATGCAAAAAGCACAGCCATAGATGCAGAAAAGAAGTGCTGAACAGTGGTGCTCATCCATCTCTAAGAAAAGGCCAGCAGCGGTAAACATGTAGCTGCGCGCAGCACTCAACCCGCTCAATGCTTGTAGATGGACAAGGCAAAATGGAAAAAATCGGCAAAAGCACCGATAGAAACTTTCGCGGCAGGAGACAAGTCAAACATGGTAATCTGAGTGGATATTTCCTGAAGGTAATGTTGCAAAGTTTCCACATTCTTTAGCCTAAGAGCCCACAGAATATCCATGATAGGTGTTCCTTCTCGATATAAATTTACAGTTCCACCGGCCCTCAGTCCGCCGGGTGTCAATCCAGTACTTAAGGGCACTTCAAGGGAAGTCATCAATTTGTTCCACCGAGTGCGGAAAGCACCAGCTGATCCAGGATATACTGGTTGGTTGCCATGCATTCCTGAAAATACAGTCTCAAGAAACGAAACAATGGACTCTTGAGAAATCTTTGCGTGCTGTACGCGGCCCATCCCGCGTCGCCCAGGCTTGGGCTTGGAAATGCGTAGAAACATTGGACCTGAAGTCTGAGCAAGGTCCACAGGAAAAACAAGGTGTCGCCTTTTTGCTTGCAAAACTTCTCCAGGACGGCAGCAGCCAAAAAAGGCAATCATGATGACACAAGCCACTCGCGTCCAGTTCCAGAAAAGAGCCAAACTAATCATGGCCTGCACCATTCGAAGAGGCAGAGGTCGCCGGTGAACGACTGGCTCCAGCTCTTCCCATCTATTGATGAGATTCCATGCGGGCTGCAAATGCCCACGAAATCCAGGGTGCATTCGCTGTGCATATACTACCAAATGTCTGAAACGAAAAAGAGCCCCGCCAGATTCATAAACATGTCGACCATAATGACCCATAATAGAACCCATCAAAGAAGGAACCAACCAGCAACTTTGAAGCACTGACTGGCCCATAGATTCCTTGATCCACTCAGCAAAACTGTCCCAAGCAGCAGACCCTATCGCCACTGTTTCCGGCCTGACCATTTCAACTTGGTCGAGCCTCCGCGGATCACGGGTAGCAGGCTTCTGCTGTCTCGGTCCAGGATTTTTAGCCTCACCGATCCTTCTATGGTCACAGCGGCATGAAAAACTGGCGCCAGACTTCAAAACGTTCAAATCAGCACAAATCGCCCATGCAAGCATGAAACACAAACCTTTTGGGTAGGGCTCTGCAAGCTTCGTCATCGAAATCTTCTTCTGTCTACTTCTGCCACGTAGAATAACATGATTATGCTGCCTATTGCACAAACGCTTTGTACCCCTCAAGCGACACGAAGTCAAAAACCGTGTCCTTTTTCTCCAAGCAGTTCCAAAAGTACAAAAATCCACTCTGAAATATTTTCTGCTCATCCCCTTCGGCAACTCAAGCCATTCAGGCTGTCGCCACAAGTAGGAACCATCTGGATTCTCAACCCAATACGAAATTCGCAAACTGATGCATAGCCTAATCATGAGTGCTAGCCATTGGGAGTGACTGTTCCCATCGGCTATCTTCTTCACCATGCCAGGTCTGATGGGCTGTATGCCTCGAGGCTCCAGAGGACTCCGCACCGCCGGTGTTATGGCAGTGGAAAAGGAAGCACAAATGGGAGCTGCAGAAAAACACAAACAGGCTCCCACCTTCAAAAGCTTTTCAATACGGATGCGAGTCGCTCCATCCAGCAAATCGCACTGAGGACCATCCAAAATGTCTACCGTGAGAATCCATGTTGCCCCTAGCTTAGAACATGCTCTAGCAAATCCTTTCTTGCCAGAATACAGGTCAATGAAGCCAGGTTGAACAGGAGGGAAACGCTCATCTGAACCAAAAATGAATTGCTCCTTGCCAAAAAATAAAAAGATGTCATAAATTTCTTGAGACCAGGGATAGGGTTCATCTGAAGGTGAAACTTCGTTGCTGACTTCAGAAGCCTTTCGACTTCTCAACTTTTCTTTTACAGAAATCTTTTGCTTGCGATGCCTTGAGCTGCAAATGGATTTGTCAAGGAGATCAGGCTCTTTCAAATTGAGCTTTGCCAAACTGTCATAGCCAGCCAACTGTTCAGGAAGCAAATCGCAGCTGGACAAAAACTCGTCAATGCCAGAGAAATCTCCCAAATCAGCATCAATCCACCATTGGGGCAAATAACAAGAAGGAGAACGCAAAGACTTTCCACGGGTGGGGTCATCAGCAGGATTGTGAGCAGAACGAACATACCCAGGGGTACTGTAAATACCATTACCCAAAAGCTGAGGAAGACTGCGACGCAATTCTTCATTAAGACACTCCGAAGCACTACGCCCTTTGCACACCGCACCGATGACCACTTGGGAATCACCACCCACAGGAACGCGCTGATCACACGCCCTTAGACCAGCAACCGCCTCAGCCTTCAAATACGCCCTCATTTCACCCACGTTGATGTGACGTTGAGACTTTGCACGACGCTTCCAGACAAGACTGAAATCCAAACAACGAGCAGCAGACTCCCAAACAGGATGCTCTTCATAGGCAACTTCGCCTTCAGGAAGTTCGTCAGCCTCAGGAAGGATACCTTTTCCCCGAAGATGACCTTTGAACGGGGAGAGCAGCTTTGTCCAACAACCCTTCGAAACACCATGCCTATGGATCTCTTCATGCATAGAACCCTTGATACAAGCAGAAACAACGGCATCCCCCCAGTTGGAAGCATCAACCATGTAGAGCTCCTCAGAGAAAGACGCGCGCAAATCAGTGACAGCAAGAGGACAAAGCACTACGAGCGACCAGAGTTCATCGACCAGACCCATTGGGAGAGTAATGATATCCGATTGTTCCCTACCGACCTGTACTGCATAGATCCAACTAAGCAAGCTCATAAGCCGTCTTCTAAAGCAGAACAGGGCAACAAAACCGCCAGCAATGACTTCCAAGAGACCGACAGAGCACACCCCTAAAGAAGCAATTTGAGCCGTTACCCAGCAAAGAGATGCCGCCCTTCCAATGTTGCCGCGGACTAATCCAGAAACTCCATTGACATTTGCGCCCCAGAAATCTGCACAGTCAACATTGTCGAAACCTTTTGTAGGGTGTGCTTGAAGATCGACTCTTTTGTACATAGCATGCATATTACTACGCCTGCGCAGCAGTTGGTCCCCAACCTGAGCATCCCACGAAACCTTTTGCATGATGACGAAGTCGTCAATGATGATGCCTCCCATAAAAGATCCCCTAGGCGCCCTACCATGCATAGTTAACAAACTGTCCCCATCCAGAGCATTGCATTGCAATGCCATAGCAAGATGCGACGTCTGAGCATAAGCACACGCGGCAGAGTCCCCCATAGCAAGACTGTTGAGACAAGCATAGACAAACTCCTCACCAAGCAAATCTTGAGGGAAACCAGCAAAATCGCGAACAAGCTTTGTAGGAATAGCCCAGTCCAAGAAATTGCGAGAAGCACGTTGGGGTCCCACTTTGAACATGTAGAAGAAGTTGGAGAGGTCGTCACCCGAAAAAAGAAGTTTTTCGTGAGGCTTAAGATGAACACCCAAAAGAGCAGATGTCGACGCCATAGTCAAAATATAATGGTCTGGCGGCACTTGTAGGAGATTAGCTGGTCTGCCGTCTAAAATCAAACGGTCAACTTCCAAATTCTTGGACACGCAGAACAAGCCATTACCGAACCCTCTGAAAACATCACTGACTTTTCTAAACACGAGTCTTCCACTTCTGTTTAGCAGATGCAACAGCTTTACTTTCTCGGTTGTGGATGCATGAATCTGCACGCGAGGTGGATGCAAACGGTCACGTTCTTGATGTAAATCTTGATGAAAAGGTTCGACAAAAAGCTTGTGAGATTCTTCGTCAAGAAACGGGGTAGGATCAAAACATGGTCTGCCATCCACCTTAACTCGAGATGCAACAATAGGCTGCGCAGCAACAGAATCACCAAAATTCATCTTCCCTATCACTTGGCCTAAGTCATCCTTCTCATGACCTTGAGTTACACAAGAGCGCTGCAGACGATACTTTTTCAGGTCACCCACAGCCGCAGTGCACATCTTGGTGAGGCAGCCGAGAACTTGTTCTTGTTTCTCCTGCTTGGCTGCAGTTCGGCCCATATCAGCCGCATGAAGTTCATCAAGAAGACTCCATGCCTCAGAGAGGCGCCGTAGTCTGGCCACTACCTCCTTCTGCTTGGAACTAAGTGGCATAGGGCCACAAATGCCAGAAGGTGGGCTTCGACCTCCCAAGTGGAGGAAATTGAGATAAGAAACTTGCAGATTCAAAAGCCTGCGAAAGCCTCTTTCCCTATCACAAATGCCCTTTCCAGCAAAACGTCTGTACGGCAGAGGCATCGGCCAAACTTGGTCCTCTTCTCTCACAGCTTGGCTATTAGCTGCTAGCCACCTTGAACACTGTGCCTTGTAAAAACGACTGAAAGGAGTCGAAGAAGCAAAAAGATCTTGATGCCAATTGCTCCAAGATGCCCAAATTCTGATGGAGGACGCCCCAGCACCAGGGATATGCTTTGGAACCCTGGCTGAAGAGTCATCACCCAACTGCACCTCGGGCAAAATGCCCTCATCGCTCGAAAGCGGACATACGCTGCCGGGCTTGTCAACGGCACCATGCTGGGCGGAGCTCTGAGCGGATTCCGGCTTCCCCCGACCGAATAGAGCCAGAGGCTGTGAGGTAGAAGAGCCCGGCAAAGGGTCACCTTCATCCACTCGTGAGTCCGCAAGTGCGTGGCCGGACGTGCCTTCGGGCAGCAAACTCATTCTGGAACTTCTTGGGGGGCAGCAACTTCGGACTGCTTCCCCTTTCCACCTTTGCCCTTCGCTTTGCCACCCGTTTTCGGTGGATGAGATGGGATAGCTGGAGCTGCTTTTGACTTCTGCTCCAACTTCTTGCGCATCTCCACTTAATTGTCCACCTCTTTCAGTCGATGGGCGAATGCATCCACCCAACGAGAGTCCATAAGTCTCGTGTGTGGCATTTCGGTGACATCGGGCAAGGCGTGAGCTTGGAAAGACGACAAGGGAGCTGGCGGCTCAAATGAGAATTCTTGAGCTAGAAGGAAGCTTCCATGATCCAAACTCTCCTGCTCCAGCTGTGCTAGTCCTAAGCAGCACCTTGCTCGGGCTTCGTCGACACATCCATTCCGGAGTGCATCGAGCACTCCACTGAGAGTCCATGTTGCCCTCACACTCCGAGCATAACCCATAATGCGTGACCGATGCTCGGCCCAGCCTCTCGCAGTGAAGGAGAGTCCCGGTACATTGGGTTGGGACACTCTGAGATCGAATTCGTCGGCCATGTTGGACTCGATGATCTCCCAGATTCGTTTTGGATTTTCTTTGAAGGTCTTTTTCAAGGCTGCAATCAAAGCGGCATGCTTCCTGGCTAAACCGCTTGGCTGCTCCACAGACCCAGATCCTGAGAGGCCTTCTAAGGCATCCTCCAAGGGGTCCAACTTGGCTTTCTTCGAGAGGTGGCCCACTATGGTCGTCAACTGAACCAATGCTCTGGCCATCGGATCCGCAGGCATGTCTTCTTGCTCTTGCTCGACTTCCATGACTGATCCATCGCCATCTGCAGCCTCCTCCTCGGCAGGGAAATCGCCCAGCTTGGCCGGTCGGCCGAGAGTTACTCGACTGATTGTTTCCAGCTGAGACCGAGGAACACCAGCTTGCAGGGCTGCAGCAACGGTCCCTGGATCGAGACCTGGAAAATCGTGAACTGCTCCCAGACCCGGAGGGGGGCCAACTGGAGGGCCTTTCACTTTGGCCTTCGCCTTGACTTTGCCTGCAGTTTTTGGAGGACTCTTGGATAAGCCGCCTGGAACTTCTTCTGCAGTGACATAGCCAGATCCTCCTCCTCCTCCGGCTCGGTGAAACTTTAACAACTCTTCTAGGCTTCCCCGAAGTTGACCAAACTGGTTCTCCAGAGCAGTCAAACGATCGGGAGGAACTTCTTCCTCGCCAGGGTGGCGAACTTGAAACTTGTCTTTCGCTGCTTCCACCAAGGCTTCCGCAAAAGGAAAGCATGGATCCCCTGAGTCCCTGTCTACAAACCCAGAGGTAGCCACTTCTTCACCAAAACTGATCGAAGGAACAAATGCCTCCGAAAGCCAGCCAATCCAGCTGTTTATAGTTTTGCCCTCAGCAGCCTGCAGACGGTCCTCTTCTGTGCTTCCACCAACGGCAACTTTGAGCACCTTGTTGATGGTGCCTGGCTTGAGCTTTCTTTTGTCAACTCTTTTGTCCCAAGCCGATGCAGGCAAAGCAACTAGAAAACCTTTCTGATCGTCAAAGGCAACTAGGGCAACCTCAAAAGTGTCCCCGCTTTCAATGTTTGGAGAAAAGCAGCCGAGGTTGAAAGCAAGTGAAATACCGTCGGCTCCTATGATGAGCTCCGCTTTGAGAAGGTCAAGCGGAGACTCAGCTTCAAATGACATTACAACTACTGCTGAGCAAGAGGCCAGGACAATCCGGCCTCTTGAACAGCAATCTTAGCTTCCCACTGCGATGCAAATCCAGCAAAGATTGAATCACCAAAATTGCTACCCACACCAGTCTCAGTGACCAACTCCCTGGCCTCAGAGAAACGGCTGAGCACACGAACAGGATTGAAAACCTGTCCGCGAATGGATCGCACCACCACGTAGAGCCGGTTCTGGAGTTTCACACGGCTTCTGCCGCTATCACCACCAGGAAGATTGGCCAAGCAGCGCACAAAGAAGCGCCCTGTCTGCTCAGCAGCAGAGGTCCTTTCACGATCCGAGGTCAGAGGAGCTGGAGCAGCTTTGGCGGCAACTCCAGCAGGCAAACCACGGACGGAGCCCCCGTCTACCAACTCAAAATCCTCAACACCAAGACCTTCCACCTGGGCCTGAAGCCTGTCCAGTCGGTCAGCCAAACCCACCAAGTCCTCACGGATGGCAACGAGCTCGGCTAGAATGCCAGCTCGGGTGCCACTCATCCAAGGACCCTGTAGAGCTTGCCGTTCAATCCAAAGGCAGCAATCCTGGCTTTCACTGCTAGAGTCAACCACTGTTTCACCAGGACTAGTAATTCCAGCAGAGGCCACAAAGCAAAACCCACCACAACTCCACACCAGAAGTTGATAGGCGGAGGCTCAGGGCAAACCGGGCAGCTGAAATCCAAAGGCAAGCTAGGTGGCGGAATTGGTCCCGGGGCCTGAGTGAACAAATCCCTTAGGAGAAAGAAAAGAGTGGACGAAATCGAACCGGTGGCTGCCGAAATTGCCACAGGATGCCTGTCCATCCAAGCTTGATCCTAAGAAACTGCATCCATGACCAAAACACATCCAGAGCATAAATTATATATGTGTATTGTATGGATATACTGTAACATATACATATAATTACATTAATATGCATGAACATTACGTTAAGCTCTTTGCGTTTGCGTTTGTACTGCTGACATGACTGCTGCCTTTTAGGCACCTCCATGGTCCTCATCAAGATCCATGATGTTTGCGAAAGCCATGGCAATACATGGTGATTTTCTGCTATGTTAGTTTACCAGAGGGTAACCGCTAAGAGGTCTAAGAGTTCTTTGGGGCTTCTATCATTTTCAGAAACTTATCCTGTGCGTTCACACACCTTCGCACTAGACGTCCGAACTAGCCTTTGCGTTGCCGCAGCCACTTCGCACCAAGTACATGACACAGTTGACAAGATCAACAAGATCCATGATTTTGAAACCTAAAGTACAACTCCAGCTCAGATTCAACAATCCGCAGCCCCGATCATCATCTCTTATTTTCCCTTCAGTTTTTCGTGCCTTGCGGGCTGATGTACTAGGCTCAAAGCAAATAAATCTGAACACAAAACGATTGATTTATCACGATGGGACTTGACACCAGGACCTTTTTTCGGAGCCCATCTGGCTCGGGGAAGTGGACTCTGCCTTTCTTCCTTTCGGCTGTTCAAACGTCATAGAAACTATCCTGGATCAACCCTGTCATAGCCGTCATGCCCAATCGAATCATCTCTGAAAAGCTGTAAAAATGAATCAGCCCATCCACCTCGAATCTTTTTGTCATCATTATCATCCGTATCCAAAATTCCATCATAATAATATCCCATGTCTTCCATTTTCTCATCCATATCAATTCATTCAACTATCATTGTCATCCACAATCAAAACTCCAGTCACCAATACGGATGATAAAACCATAATTGTTCAAATCATGATATCCCATAAAAAAAATAAAAAAAATCACATTACATAACAACATTCATTGCATAGCCATCTTCCTATCTTCATTGATCAACACATTTTTTTTAAACCACTCAGAACTCATCCCAGCCTCCAGTGGATCCAGTGGTTTTGCTTCCGCTCCATTGATCACTTCCATCACTTCCACCATGGCCTCCAGGGCCAACTCCTCCGCCTCCGCTGAGGCATCCACACCCGTCTCGGAGGCCGAAACGTTTCGGCCCGCGTCGAAGGTCTCGGAGGCCTCCTGAAACGGCCAGCGTTTCGGGGAACCGGGGAAAACCTGGCCACCGTGGTCTTCATGGTGTTCAAAAGATGTCAAAACTCCAGTTACAATGATGTTACAATGATGTTGATGTCGAAAAATTGATGGGCAACAAAAATTATCAAAAATTGCTTCGAAGATTTCGAATTGGAGTTCCCATCGATTGTGAGAATTACCCCATATTTTGGGTGATACCCCAACTCATCACCAACCAGCAGGGGTTTTGAACACTGGTCGAGTGGAAAGAGGTGATCTGCTCGGCGAACTCACATGAAATCAGCCGTGTTTTCCCCAACTGTGGATAGTAGCTTCATTTACCTATAGACTGGAGCAACCCTGGGATCAATGGTTTAAAGTCGTGATACCCAGGACGCACTGAACAAAACATTCAAAACCAGAGTTCATAGGGAAAAAATGCTTTGCTGCAAATGATTTTCCCACAAACCAATCCATTGAATCAAGTTTTAATGAAAAAAACCTGAGACAAGAGGCAGCTGGGATTCTCGAAAAGGGAAATATGCAGACTTCGAAATGAACTATGAACTATGAGAGCGACATGAGAAACGCTGAAACCTAGGGAGGTTGCTGAGATGGTAATCTGGCCGTCACTGGCGCTTGTGTTCCACTGTTTGCACCCAATGGAAAACCAGCCTGGATTGCACTGATGTCACGCGATGTTTTTCCCGGCGCCACGTTAGTATGTTGTTTACATTCATTTAGCATCATTTGATATCATTTGGGGGTTTCCATAAATGGGGGTACCCCTAAATTAGGGCCTAAATCATCCATATTTCATAGGATTTTCATGGATTTTCCCTCATAAACCATCCATTTTGGGGTACCCCCATTTAGCTCTAGATATTGGTCCCCTTAATGGGGTATAGGACCTGAAGCAAAACAGCCAGCCGCCTCTGGAGACTCGTCCTTCACCTGATTTGCCCAAAGCGATGCATGCTGATTTGCCCACACAAAAAAAACAGCCCCTTTTCGATGGGCAAATCAAATAATTCAAATATGAAAATAGTGATACAGTAGACGACTTTTTTTTCATCATTTTGAATAAAATTTTGGGAGTTGATGTAATTTATCTATGGAGACCTTGGCACTTGGATAGGAAAACCCATAGGTTTTAAGCCCCAGGCTGGGGCCTCGTGACTGAAGCTGAAATCGCTCAGGGATGATCCGGGCGATCCTGCGATTTGGCCAGGAATGATGCAGTGCTGGCTGCATGTGTATATAATGATATGGGTTTGTTGGAAAATTAGGTACCCCCAATATCAATCTGGCTGGTGGTTTTAACATGTTTTAACCATCTTGAAAAATATGAGTCAATGGGAAGGATTGTCCCATATATTATGGAAAATAAAAAATGTTCCAAACCACCAACCAGTCAATGAATTATAATCGCTATAATCAAAGGACCTGGGTTGAGGAACAGTGTCCATCAGTGTCCAATATATTCTGGTCGCTTCGCGACGACAACCGCGCGCACCAGAGTGTTAGCTACGGAGTTCCAAGAAATAAATCCATATGTTCTATGTTGGGCGCATGTTGGGAGTATGTTGGGCCCATGTTGGCTCTATGTTGGGCCGTGTTGGGCACATTGATGGGCCCATGTTGGGCCCATGTTGAGCCCAAGTTTGGCAACTTCGCCGATTTTAGGTCCCTTTGAAAAACGTGCAAAACCATAGGATTCTAGAGCAATAATGGCACCCTCCAAGCTAAAGCTAAAGCTTCTGGATCATGCGTGCCAACAAACAACGTCTCAGCACCGTTGGTGCCTGCAGATTTAAGGTTAGAGTCCACTATGGGAAATCCTACTGACCAGTAAGGGACGACACACGGTTTGAACACTGCTCCTATATCCATCTATCTATCTATCTACCTACCTACCTATCTATCTATCTATCCATCTATCTATCTATCTACCTACCTATCTATCTATCCATCTATCTATCTACCTACCTACCTATCTATCTATCTATCCATCCATCTATCTATCTACCTACCTACCTACCTATCTATCTATTTATCTATCTATCTATCTAATCTATCTAATCTAATCTAATCTAATCTAATCTAATCTATCTATCTATCTTTCTATCTATCTATCTATCTAATCTATCTAATCTAATCTAATCTAATCTAATCTAATCTATCTATCTATCTATATGTTTTTCAGAGATGGCAACAACAGTTGTCCAATTTTAGCTGACGACTCCTGACGACTCTGACGACCTCGATCGCTGACGACTCCTGACGACTCCTGACGACCCCTGACGACCCCTGACGACCCCTGACGACCCCTGACGTCCCCTGACGACCCCTGACGACCCTTGACGACCCCTGACGACCCCTGACGACCCCTGACGACCCCTGACGACCCCTGACGACCCCTGACGACTCCTGACGACTCTGACGACCTCGATCGCTGACGACTCCTGACGACTCCTGACGACCCCTGACGACCCCTGACGACCCCTGACGACCCCTGACGTCCCCTGACGACCCCTGACGACCCTTGACGACCCCTGACGACCCCTGACGACCCCTGACGACCCCTGACGACCCCTGACGACCCCTGACGACCCCTGACGACCCCTGACGACCCTTGACGACCCCTGACGACCCCTGACGACCCCTGACCGACTGCCACAGGAGATCTTTGTCCGTTTTGACGCCCCTGTCTCTGACCTTTGTTCGTGTGTTGAACGTATTGGTTTGTAGGGTGGATGGGCGGGAAATTTCAACAATTTACCCCACATATTCTGTTGAGCGTATTGCTTTGTGAGGTCGAAGGGGGTTAAATCATGTTAAATCTATAACAATGACTCATATGCTAAACCTATTGCTTTGTAGGGTCGAGGGAGATAAGTTTCAAAAATGGCTCAAGATGCCAATGTTCTTCACATGTTCAACATATTGGCTTGCTGTAGGAGAAGGAATTAACGAATATAAGAATGATTACATTTCATTTTGTTCATATATTCAACGTAATAATTTCCAGGGGAAGGAAAAGACACCTTAAACATGGTTCATGATGCCAAGTTGTTTTATATGTTGAACGTAGTGTTTTGGTAGGGGACAGCGGGGAAAAAACATAACAATGACTCAAGATTCCAAATTGGTTGATATGTTGAGCGTAGCGTTTTAAAAGGGATCGGGGGAGATGGAGGGAATACATTCAAACTTCAAAACAACGACTCAACATGTCAACTTTGTTCATATATTACAGGTACTGCTTTGTATTTTGTGGAGTCGACGAGAGGTTATAAATTGCAAAAATAACCCCACATGTCAATTTTCTGCACTTGTTCAACCGTTTGCTTTGTAGGGTCGAGGGGGGCTCAATTTTAAGAAAAACTCAACGTGTCAACTTTCACCGTAAACAAAACTCGAAGTGTCAACTTTCACCGTTTTTTTTAACGTATGCTTTGTAGGGTCGAGGGACTGTAAATTTCAAAAATGAC